CAAGCACCCATAAAGAAAGGTGACATATATCCTCATGCTCAATGATGGATGTATGTTCAGTGTGCTATGCTCTCATGTACATATCATGAGATATCAAAGAAAATGCTGGAGTACCAGACAAAATGTGGTTCAAAACCCAAAGCTGAAATATAGTTCCAATCTAAAGCCACAGCATGGGAAAATGAAAGAAAGGTGTTTTATCTGGGGCTGCTCTGACCTTTTGCATTCCCTGAACACTTTGGGTGTCCCCAAAATAGCACATTTCACACACAGAACTGAAGCTAATGTCACAGTGTGCTAGTCGTTATTAAAAACTGAAGGAGAACTTTTTAAAGGAGGATACAAAATGTGAATCCCTGGTACTTAGGAATGAAATCTAGGTGTGCTTGCCATTTAACAGTTCCATTGAAACACAGTGTTCTGGTCATGTCCTAACAGTTGCCTGGCGGATAGATTTAACAGGCCCTCATTTTCCTTTGATGAATTTCCTGATGCAAAAATTCATCAAAGAAATAGAAATGGTTTTGCTGAAACAAAACAGATGTCTGGGGTGACTTTCTTCAGAATAACTGAAGAGAAGAATAAAAGAAAGCATCACATTTCAGACATACCCAGAAAGGAAAATGCATCCATTGTGTGATAAGAGCAGCTCTGCCCTAACTCAAAATGAATTTTAAGGGGTTTCATTCACTTTCTTATCTGCATTGTTCATTTGCTAGAGCAAGCAGAGGGCCAAAGTACAAGCTAAAGAATTACAACTAGAACATAGTTAATGTTTGCACATGGCTTCCAGCCTTTAAAGCTATATAAAGTTTATCAGATCTATAATGTATAGACCTATAAGACCTTAGACATATAAGACAAAATAGGTTCATTATACTAATAGTAGTAACCACAGTCTTCAAAAAGAGAAATGTCAAGTCATTTCCTTTGCCTAGTCTTTTTTTTTTTTAGGTAGAAGGATTACAAATTTATCAAATATTTATCAAATATAAATATAAGGTATTTTAATGCACTTTAAATGAAGATATTTATTTATCAAATAAATCAATCTATATTTGCCTACATTCAAACTCTTCTTGATTTCTCACTATATATTTTGCATTTCATTTTCTTTTGACTACAGTTCTCTTTCCTACCCAAGCATGTGACTGTATACACCTGAGGATAATATTTGAAGTTGATTCTAGTCCACAAAAGCATGTACCAAAATAAATGTGTTAGCCTTAAGATGCCTTTTGTTGGTTTTGCTATCACAAACTAGCATGACTTCTTATCTGGAAATCTAACTTTCAGAGTGACAGGAGAGGCTATGATTTAATGGAATCATTTTTATTTCATGTGTGTGTGGTGTGCTGTGAGTGGGTGTGCTAGAGAAGATTAATTTTGCTTTCTAGAGTAGCTTCTGTGTTTTACCATGTCTGGAAGTGCTGCATGAATTTCTATAGCAGGCAACCTGACTTAGACACTTAAATGCGATTTACCAGTTTCCTTTGAAAGTATTGACAGACCTGCAGTCAAAACCAGGTCAAACATTGGTATGCTGGCAGTTTCCTGCTTCCTGTGACATGGCTGTGACCTGTTGGCCATGGAAGGTCACTTCTTTGGGACTCTTTGTGCTTGCCATGTAATGCATACAAGCCGTGCATTACACACCACACATTCTGGTCTTGTGGCATGGAAAGTCTCCCTGCCAATGCCAGCAACCCTAATGAATGAAGCACGCCTGGGATCTATTTACAGCCTTTGCTGCTACATAAGAGGAAATATCCCATCTGCTCTTTGATAAGAACTGTTTTAAAGAGAGACACTCCTGGAGCACTTCTGTTTTCTCAGAGCAGCCAATGAGGTTTTCAAGGTCATTCTGCACACATTAAAATGTGGATTTAAATTTTCAAATAAGTGGCTATCAGCCTCATACCCAGGGCTGTATTATGACCCGCGTGGATCTATCAACCAAATGCAGCTGGATAACCTTGCATTTCAGTGGCATTTGAGTAAAATTTCCAAAGCTTGTGGACGAGTTTTTTTCAGTACAAACATGCTGTTTCTAAAACTTTCCTCATACCCACACACAAAACACACAAAGAATGGCAAGCTAAAAGGAAAAATTGGGCTCAGCACCATTCATGGTTTTCTTTATTATATCTGACTTTTTCTGTTTCTATAGTAGAGAATTTCTGGCAATTATGCCATGTTGTTTAAAAGAGGAAACCAGCCCCAGACAGCAAGGTTTTGGACCCTTTTAAACTGACTTTGAACCATCCCTTTACCATTACTTTTTCTTTTAAGTAAGTTTTATTTTTATTTTTATTTTTCTACTAACTGACAAAAAGAAACTAAAAACCATCACTCATCGGAAACATCAGACCTACTGGGTCAGCCCCCCATACTTTTTTTTATAGTAATCCATAAACATATTTATGTCTATGCATAGTCCCATTTCTCTAGCCAATAATAAAAAGAATTCCAAGTTTGATAGAAGTATGTATCCTCTTTCTCCTTCAGAGACAACCTTTACCGTTACTTTTAAGAGGCCCCCTACAATTTTATATTCAAATAGATTACAACTCTGTGGAGAAAACGTAGAGCAAGCCTTTCAAGGCAACATTGAGGGGGAATGATTGTTGAAAGCTGGCTGTATTTAAGTGGTAAGTGCACTACTTTCTACGATCCCCTGAGTGGTGAAGCCAGCAGAGTTTCTTTGACTTATAAATTGGTTCATGGACTTGTTGGAGGAGATCAGTCCCACAATGAGCTTCTTTCTAAGATGCCTTGAGATGTGTATCTGATGAGCGCCAATACTTTCTAGATACATAAAGGGATAGCTATAGCACAAGAGGAAGGAGACATCTGATGATGCTTGGGAAGCTTAAGGGCCTGTCTAATAAATATCCCAGACTCTGTAAGCTAGGATAGGTACATTTCTCAGTAGGATGCTCTGCTTATGCCCCAAACATATATCTTCCATATAAAAGGCATGCATTTGGGTTTAAGTGGAGCTTTCACTTTGCCTAATTGTTCCTCTATAGCGGCCTCCCCCTACCTAAAGCCCTGCTTTATTGGGCTAGAGTATTGGACTCTACCTGAATACTAGACTCTGTGGTATTATTCTGCAACCTCACCCCAATGGTCATGCTCATTAGGCTTGATGAAGTTTTAGTCCGATGCATCTGGAATGAGCCAGGTTAGGGTAGGCTGCAGGAGAAAGTACTTTTCTACACAACGTTGTTAATCCACTGTAACTAATGAAGTTTTGTTGCAGAAATGAGATCCCAGCCCTAAACATTTCCTTTCACATGTTTACCTTACAGGGGCTCTAGATGGCACAATGATCAGAACAATGCTACAATGTAGAACAGCACAATGATACGTGCAGAAAAAGTGTTTCCTTTTGCACTCTATTTCCCTGCCTTCAAAAAAGGTTGATGAAAGAGCTGTTTAGAAATGGAAGCAAAATTAGTGGATCATGTCATCTTCATCACTAGTTAAAAAAGGTAGACAATGAAAACTCCCATGAGTAGGAAATGTCCAGCAACTGGATATCAGTTGTGGATGCTGCTGCATTGTTCTTATCTTTGCAGGTTTCTTTCTTTTTAGTTTTTAGCTTTTAAACTTCATCTTTCCAGTTACTTATTGACACTGTGAACCCTTCACATTAATAGCCTGAAGCAAAGAAACATGGAAACTGTTGCTAACACTTGCAATAGCTATGTAGATTAATAAATTGCACTGGGAAATTGCGTCCTGATGAGTAACTGTCTTTCTACCCTCCGGGCTTTCTGAATCATGGCTGCCAGCACATATAGACCTGCTGGCAGCCATGATACTGTAGGGAGCAATATCATACAGGATAAACAGTACAGATCAGCAAGGAGTAATGTGCTTAATTGTATTGCTTGTCCTTGGTTCAACACTTCCTCTGTCAAATTAAAGGTGTCAGCAATATTCAAAGAATGTTTCAGGTGCTGGTGATCTGCTACTTCCTTGGTTTCAGGTGAAGCTTAATGACCAAGAAATAAAATGATTTTTTTTTCTTACAAAGCAATCTATGCCAGGGGGTAGACATTGCAAGGATTGTGGACCAGATCCTGCTCAAGGAGGTTTTCCCATTCCAGAAAATTCCCACCCACCTGCCACGTGACATGGCTAATTCTGCAAAGTGAAAGATTATGTGTTCTGACATCAGCCACTGTTAATGCTGAGATGAGCAGGATTGGAGAGTTGTAATCTGATATTCAATTTTACAAGCAGGGTGGATTCTCCCAGTGACATACAGTCTAAGAAAGCAGGTCATTGTAGTGCGGATGCTTGTAATGCAGTATGTAGAGCTTTCTTTAGCTCTTTCTAGGGAACGTTTGAGACTAGGAATTGATGGGGACAGTCAAAACTGATGAATGAATCATCAGAAATACTTCATTTGCATCAGGGCTCTACCACACAGCCTGTTTGGAATGTCAGCATTCAGTTCAGGAAGTGTCCGTGGGAAATGACAATAAAGGTAGGCACCTGATGCTGTTTAGCATACATTCTACAGTTCTAGAAATAACCCTGTGCAATTGTCTGTTGCTTTATTCCACAGAAGTGAAATAGCAGTCAGAAGTAAACCTCAGTTTATTGTAAGCAGTACAACATTCACCTAATGTTGTCACCCTGGCAGCGGTCCTGCAGCTTGCACTCCAACTGATGCCTGGAGGACTTTTTTCTGGGTAGAAGTTTTAGGACTGCAGCCAAAAAAATTAGGTTCAGGTTTCTTGACCTCATTATGAACTATGAAAAAATGTGATGTTAGCATTCTTTAAATTAACCACCTGGAAGTCAGCACAGCCCCCCCTACCCACCCCAGTCCAGTGTACGTTCCTTATTTAAAATGCAAATTGACTTCACACATTGACATCCTGGGAAAAACCATTTACACAATTCACGGAGGTCATTCATTAGCAGGGAACTGCCTGTACCTAGCAAGATTAGCATTTGTCTGTCTGGGGTTTGTTTTGCAGACTTTGCAAATGGATGTAAACAAGCTGAATATCACGTTGCTTCGGATTTTCCGCCAGGGAGTGGCAGCAGCTTTAGGACTGCTGCCGCAGCAAGTGCACATCAACAGACTCATTGTAAGTAACAAGCGTTTCGTGTAACCATTTTGATTGCCTGGCTTCCATGCTCTGGGAATAAAAGCCAGCAGAGCTTCATGCAAAGGCTTCCTATAATCGCTGGCTGCAGTGGTGAGAGGTCATGTCCACCAGAGTGCTTTGGTATGGCTGCTTCTGGTAGAATGGAGGTGGACAGCTTGTGGCCCACCAGATGCTGTTGGACTGCAGCTCCCATCGTCTCTCAACATTGACTCAGCTAGCTTGGGCTGATGCATGTGCAACAGCATTTGGAAATCTACATGTTGCTTGGCACTATTGCAGAGTACAGTTTTCATATCAATATGAGTAAGTATGAAAATACATATGCAAAACGTTCCAGGATTGCCCTTAACACCAAAACAGCCCGAATGATAATACCATCAGCTGGGGGTCCAGGATCAAGTCACATGACCACATTGCTCATGGCCATCCACCTTTCTTTCATACCTTTCAGAGGGTAAACAGGTTCCATGCAAGCTCTTCCATGGACTGTTCTGGATTGGATTCAGCTACATCGTTCCCTGATGGATCTGTGGTGGAGCTCAGAAGCACCACATGCAAGATATTACTATGAACAACCTATTGTAGGCACTGAAAATGTGCCTGCCAATAGTTATAAGAATGTGTTTGATTCTGAATCAAATGAATGTTCTACATCAAGAAGCAGGCAGCCTCCAGAGGTTTTGGACTGCAACTCCCATAAGCCCACATCCAGCATAGCTGGTGTTCCAGGACTATGGAAGTTGTACTCTGAAACATTTGAAGGGTACCAGGTTGCCTACCCCAGATCTGACAGAGGGAGCATCCAGATTTTGTTTAAGTGCTTCCATCTGCGTTTCTCAGATTGACAGTCATCAGTAATTCCATTCACTATTTCATGTAATCATAAAATGCGTAACAATTTTATTCCTATTTACAAATGTGCAGTTGCACTATATATATTAATGCATATGTATACCCAAACATTTCTTAGGTGAGAATCTGTGAGACCTGGAAAAAGCTGGTCCACTATGGAACCTCAGGACAGATTCATAGAAATATATTCATTTGATTCTGTCATATATTGACAATCCTACTTATGTCAGTCCTACATGATGGGTGGACTGTCCCCTACCTTGTGGCAGCTTCCACCCCAGAATACTTAGGCTGACTATGGGCCTTAACTAGCCCCACAATCTCTTTCACTGGTACTTTAATCTAAAGACTTGCTGGCAGTGGAAGCTGTGAGATTCTGCCTCACACGCATCCTCTGTACATTGCCTCACACAGGGGTCATTTTCAAACCAGATAATAATGTGAGTCAAAACACAGGGTTGGATCTAACCTGAGTTAGTTGTATTTACTTTCCATTGAAATCAGTGGAAGTTAAGTCATGGCCAACTTGTTCCATAGATTACAATGAGACCCATGCTCAATTAGCTTAGTATGGGCCCAGACCATAGTAATTAAACTATGCTCCTGAGGATGGTAAGATAGGCTTGCGGGCCACAGAGCAGCCACATTCTTTCTTCAAGATAGGGATTGGCCAACTGGCAATATTCCAGATGGATTGTGTTAAACAAAGTTGCCCAAACTTGAGACCAGAATGAGGTGTCGATCAAAAATTTCAAGGGGCAACATGTTCCTTCCTGGGATTCTGCCTGGGCCGAGTTTCCCAATAAATTTAACTTTGGTTTCATTAACAGGATTAGCCTGTCTACAGTGTCATGCATCATGACAGGCACTGCTCGGCGCTCCTCAGGAGTGTTGTTTGTACCTGTTCTAAAAAATGCAAGACTCTTGTTGACTTTGGAATTTGGGCCACCATCACTGGCTGTGTTTATCTAGATTCTAACACTACAAGATCTTACATGATGTTGTTGTTGTTTTGTCATCGTTGTTAGAAACAGTATGCCTGAGAGCTTCCCAAAAGATATTGGTGTAACTCTCTCCCTGCTCCACACCATCCAAAGAGCCAAACTACATGTCATGCTAGCTAAACATGTAGCATATAACCAAGCTGCTTTGTTTTACTTACTCTAGTGTAAGATCTTGATAAACTTGAACACTGGGCTGAAACCAACGGAATGAAATTCAATAAGAACAAGTGCCAAGTCCTCCACCTGGGAAAAGGAAACCAAAGGCATCAATACAAGATGGGGAATACGTGGCTTAACAGAACTGAACAAGAAAAAGATCTTGGAGTAATTGTGGGCAACAGGCTAAATATAAGCCAGCAATGTGATGCAGCTGCCAAAAGGGCAAATGCTATTTTGGGATACATTAACAGAAATATTACTTTCAAATCACAAGAAGTGGTAGTTCCTCTATACTCTGGACTAGTCAGACCTCACCTGGAATACTGTGTCCAGTTCTGGGCACCAATTTAAGAAAGATGCAGGTCAATTAGAAAGGGTCCAGCGGAGGGCAACAAAAATGAGCCAGGGTTTGGAAACACTGCCCTATGAGGAGAGACTGGGAGAACTGGGCATGTTCAGCCTTGCGAAGAGAAGACTGAGGGGGGACATGATATCCCTCTATAAGTACCTCAAAGGCTGTCACAAAGAGGAAGGTCAAGATCTCTTCTGGCTGATGCCAGAGTGTAGGACATGGAATAATCCATTCAAGTTGCAACAACCCAGATTCAGGCTGGACATCAGGAAAAGCTTCCTCACAGTCAGAGCAATACGACAGTGGAACCAGCTGCCTAGAGAGGTGGTGGGCACTCCCACACTGGAGACATTCAAAAAGAACCTGGACAGCCCTCTGAGTGGGATGGTGTAACGTAGTGTCCTGCACCAGCAGGGGGTTGGACTTGATGACCTTCATGGCCCCTTCCAGCTCTTCTAGTCTACGATTCTATGATTCTAGTGTAAGAGCACCTGGTTCCCTGATCCAGACTGGGACAAGTCTGCTCTGGGAGCATGCTCGCCCATTATTTCCACAGAATTCTTTCCTCCTCCCAGCCCTCATGGGGGTTGGGTGGGTAGGTGGTAAAACAGAAGAAAACATTCTTCCTTGATTCCTACCGAAGTGTTTTTTTTCTTAATGCTCTCTGCATGGGCTGGTGGATTTTAGAAAAAAAAATGGATGGAAAGGAAGGTTTAATCCTCCATAGTAGGCTGGACTCCGTTTGTTTCACTAATGAGAGCAGTTATTTTAGAGTAAGTTCAATGACTTTGTGCAGCCGAATGTGCACTTTATGCCCTCAACAGGTGCTTGTGTGGGTTTTGCTGCACTAAGAAATATCTGGATATTTTATTTATTTATTTATTTATTTATTTATTTATTTAAAACATTTCTAAGCCACCCCATTCGCCAAAGCTTCAGGGCGGCTCACAACATAAAATTAAAATATGCAACATTCAAATATACAACAAATTAACATTAATGTCTATCAGATTGGATTGAATGTAGCAATCCAGCTGCTCACAGATTCATTTGCCACTTCATAATTTGGCATTTAAGATCTCACAATCCTGACACTTGTTGGTGTGACCTGTGGTTGGATGATTGTATGTCACCTGTACCATGACTGTGGAGCTAACGTGTCTGCTGTTATTGTGGTCAGAGTTTGCTGAAGCAGACTGAATGAAGTTGAGGTTGATCTGACATCCTCATGATGGTGAGAACTCAAGTTTGCTTAAGGGTAATATGCCACATTAGAAAATTGTGAATTTCTATTAGCAGAAAAGGAAATGAAGGGCCAGTTATGGTCCATGGATCTAGAAAGCACGCTGGTCTTGTTTCATCACAACAATGGCTTGCTCTAACTCCTGGAATTTTACATCAACATAACTGACTGCAAACCACTGAAATGCTACTACAACCCCAGCTGAATATCACATCTTGGATACTGCATGGATCCTCCATGAATCCTACTGCAGTTTCTGCCAAGTTCAAACATGCATGTAGATCTAGAATGCATATTTTGGGAATGTGAGTTTTGTTGTGCATGGATCCTGGATGGAGCAGATTCCAGGATCTATGGGGTCCAGTTCAAATTGATCCAGTTTGGTCTGGACAACTCTAGGTTTTTCAAGAATTTCCTCTTTCCTCATATATGGCACCCAGATCTGAAAAAATGCTGATCATAGTGCCAGGAAGAGGGAATTTCTAACATCTGAAGTGCCATTTTGGATTTTCAAAATACCAACTTGGATTCAATATGATATCTAAGGAAATACTATGCTCAGTCCAAATAAGTTCTGATTTAAACTAGGAAAAATCATGAATCGCTATTGTCTCTGGAGCACTTATGAAAACAGCAAGACTTAACAGCAGGCCTTATATTTGTGTTATTCTTTAGAGTCAGTGATTCTTTTTAATTTTATGATTTTGGATTTTGCTAGGGCAAGAAGAACTGTGTTGAGCTCTTTGTATCACCAGTAAATCGGAAAGGAATTTCTGATACCCTGCCATCAGATGAAGTCCTGAGGTCTCTGAATATCCATGTTCTACACCAAAGTTTATCCCAGTTTGGAATTACAAAAGTCTCCCCAGAGGTGAGTAATCTTTGGCATAAACTGTTGCATCTCACCATAGAATACACATCTCTTCAGTGCTATAAACACATCTCTTTAAGGCTTGTTTTTCTAAAATTGAGGGAGAGAGCTCATAGAGTACACCGTAAAGGTATATGTTCCTAGTCACACCAAAACACAAATTCATGAAAGATCCAGCTGCAAATGGCATGGAGAAGAGAACCCTGGACCTAAGGTAGATGATCATTAAGAACGTTAAAATGTTAAAATTAAGAGAGGATTTTGTGCCACAAGGGCCAGATCAAGGCAGATTGCTGACTAAACCAAATGGGAAGAAGGAGCTCTCTCCCTCCATTCCCTCCATGAGAAGAAACCAGCCAGACTGACAGCTGAATCTTTCTTTATCACGGGCAATGGAAGAGCATCCTCTGTTGTGCCTGAGGGCAGGAGGCTAGTTTAGGCACCACATCACAGGATGCATGGCACCTACGGCACTGTCCCCCTACCTCTTGCTCCTCCTTCCATCCCCTGCATTGTAGACACTCATGTGAAAGATTGCTCCTCTCCAAAGGGAAAGGAGAGACAGTGGGAGAAGAAGCAACCCTTCCGATAGTCACTGGCCATTAAGAGCCTAAAACAAGGAAGACCAGCCAAGTTAAACATATTCAACCAGTTCTGGCCTCCCAGTGGTCTGGAATGTCTATTGTCAGAGTCACTAGGCTGTAATGGAGCCAGTGTGGTGTAGTGGCTAAGAGCCTGGGACTGGGACTCAGACGATCTGGATTCTAGTCCCCACTCAGCCATGGAGCCAACTGGGTGACTTTGGGCCAGTCACAGACTCTCAGCCTAGCCTACCTCACAGGGTGGTTGTTGTGGGGATAAGATGGAGGAGGAGAATGATGTAAGCTGCCTTGAGCCCTTTGTAGGAAAAAGGCAGGATATAAATCAATCAATCAATCAATCAATCAAGGATCACTGAAAGATAATTAGACCAATGCCAAATCTCATTACATTGTATTACAATAATCAGAAAAGAAAATAAGTAGCCTGGACACAAAATTCAGAAGTAGCAAAATGCTCTTTTTGAAACCAAGTACTTTAAATTTTAGCCTTTTAGAAACTTTAGTAAAATGTATACAATCATGTCTACCCAAACATTAGCTATGTTTGAAGACATCAATTCTGTTTGAACCAAAATTTAGTTTCATTCTGTTCTGAGTATATATCAATAGATCCTCATTTATGCTTTGATAGAAAAATACCCTCCAATTCCCAGCATGCCCCAGCCAGAATGGGTAGCTGGGGCATGCTGGGAGTTATAGACTGCTAGTGGTCTAATTTGCATAGAATTGCATCCTTCGTGACTGAAAAGGGCATAGGAGGACTTAAGAACACAAAAAGTGTGGTGATGAATCAGACCAAAGGCTTATTTGGTCCAGCATTCTGTTCTCACAGGGATGGATCAGACACCTGTGCGAAGCCCACAAGAAGGACTTGAGTGCAATAGCACCCCCTGCTTGGGTTGCCCAAGTGCACTGTGGCCAGTGCCAGCCCTACATTAAAAATTTCCAGTGAAACAAAAGGGTTTTAAGTTAGACTTATGCTGGATGCAACCAGCAGGCCCTGCTCAGCAAGGAGGATGATGGCAACCCAAACAGGGATAGGCCCTCCCAAGCCTCTGAGCCATCAGCCCTGCCTTCCCTTGTCCTTCCCTGATGCCAAGCCTGATAGAAATAGAGTTCATGTATCTATTTTTTTTACACAGTCACATTCTTTGTTCATCAGCACTTTCTTACACCTTCACTCACTGCCTTTGGATCTCTGCAAAGGTTAAAGATTAACACCAACCTTATGTAGCCTGTTGAAGGAGTCACGGAAGGAGATGCCCAACAAATCTACTGAAAGTGTAAACAACTCCCACCACCTTCTCACCTACCAAACGAGATTGTTTCCCAGAAGGAACTAGGTTTGCTTATGTAGCTCAATCCAAAGAATTTAGAACTGCTCATTAAGAAGTTATGAAAGCAATCTTTTAACCATGTGAGAATAATTATCTCCAACTAGTTAGAAGAATGATTGGTAGTGATCATCCAGCCATTTTAGAGTACAGGCAAATAAAGCAAGGATAGTATTTCATAATTCTCAAGCATACACCCAGAGCCATGTAATGACATGTCATTCCTTTTGTGTGTGTGTATGTGTTTGTTGCGAATCAAAAGAAAAATGTGTTGCAAGGCAAGCACGAATCGGGTAAACTCTGGAGCAAAGAAGGATTTTATGCTGTCATCATATTTCTCAGCATCTTCGTCATTATTGTGACATGTCTGATGGTAAGTTAGTTTCTTTGATTTTTTCTACCTATGCATATCTGAAAAGCAAACCCAAATAATTTGCACAACTCTGTCCAATTTTTAACCACTTTTGTATCAAAACTAATACAGAATTCTGTAAAGACAAAATCAGCTGCAAGGATGCAGATGTCTAGAAAAAAATACCCTTGGGGTGCCTCATAAAAGGCACTTCTCACATGAGTTTTCTGAGGGCTAAATTGTCACCTGCATGTGATCATGCCCATCTTTGCAGGCACGTGCATCCCTCTTCAAAAATGGATAATTACACTGCTCAGCCAGGTAGAGTAGCAGGGTCTAGAGCCCAGCCCTCAGTTCCCCTAGGAAGCAGATATTGGCGTGCATTCCACTCTGGAGGTCATCCTCTGCCTGTGGAACCTGGGCAGCTGCATTGATGGATGCAGGCACCATTTGCACACATGGTTCCCCACATGGTTTCAAGCCCATTCAGCTAGGCTTTAAATGGCTGAAATGCGAAGGCTGAAATGCCTCCCCTAAGGTGCCTACAGGTTTCAGTCCCTTTGAAGCACCACTTCACACACAAGGCAGGAGATTTCCCTAGCCCTGAAGAGCAGACTTGGGTGGGCAGAAAGGCCTACAGAGGCAGGGGTGATCCATGAAAATCTTCCATCTGTTTTTCTACTGGTGGACTCATCCAGTCCCTGGGGTTTTCTTGTGTGCTGCCTTGGAACCAACCCACTGAGAAGAACAAAATGTAATGTTCTGTAATGGGAAGAAGCATGGAACCCAAAATGAGGAGAGAAGGGAAGGTCGTCCAACACCCCTCTTTGTGACAGGGAGTTAGGTATTATATCCCAACATTTTCCTCTTTACAGTAATTGTGACTCAATTATGTCTCTTTAATAAAACAAATATTAAATTTGGTAACAATAAAATCAAAGCTGCAGGAAATGCAAAAAATAGTTTTCCTAATGGAAAGGATGCATATTCCATAGAAAAGAACCCCGTGGAACAAAATGAGAGGTTGTTGGATATATATTTCTTTTCATGTTTCTTCATAATAATATCCAGTTTATTAATATCAAGTTTGTGACTTTTCTGTATTTAAGATAAAATCAGCTCTTTTTTCTGTTTTCAATAGATTCTGTACCGACTGAAAGAGAAAATACAATTCTCAGTGAGACAAGATAAGAACAAAAAACAGGAAATACACCTTTCAGCCATCCCTCTGCAGAGAGCTCAATCTGAGTACAAAACAGCAAACAGGATGGTCCAGCCTGAACAGGCTCCCAAAGCTGTAAATGTTGTAGTAGATCCTCAAGGACAATGTGCTCCTGAGATCAAGCCCACCCTTTCTGCCAGTCCATCACCTTTCAAAATGAAACCAGTGGGACTTCAAGAAAGGTAGGATGGATGGATGGATGGATGGATGGATGGAAACTTTTATAACTGTCTTTCTTTAAAGTGTTACACTATAGGGTAAGATTTGATGGGTATTCCATGCTGTTATGAAAATAAAGATTACAACTTACCCTTCACTTACTAGGTATTTAATTAATGTTTAGAAATGGTATCATAATCTTAACAGATATTAATTTCTGTCTTAATTCAAACAATGCATTGAGTAAAGTTATGCATTTTTGTTTATGTGGCACTGTACCGTGTACGACACACCAACACACACATACCTGTATAGGAAGGCTAAATCACCACCTGTAATAGCACAATGGTTGGGGAATTTCATGTAACTTTTGGTTTTTGAATGGGTGGTCTTTTGACATAACCTCCAAATGGGTAAATATATAGTTATTTGGCTGCCTTACTTGAAGTTTATACCTGTTTTACATAATGGTAGTCCATTCTGTTATATACTAATACATAGGGATACATAATATATACATCACTAATGTTGTATATCTAAGTCTTACCCAAAAAAATTATGATGAAAACACACAAACTTGTTTGGAGAGTTAGAATTAAAGATGGATGAATCTCCCTGTTTTGGCTTCTATAATTTTCAAACTTTCTGAAGCACACATTCACTCCCTCTCTTTTCTTGTATCTGTTTGCAAATTGAGAAAAAGTTCACAATTAAACTTCATATGCATTTCTCAGTTACACATATGTATGCATAAATCCTATATATAGATCACTTTCAAATTACATAAATTAATGTCAATAGACTTATGCCATGATCTAAAGCAACATGGGCAGAGTAAGGTTGTACATGCCCAGTCCCTGTGAAAAAGTTATAGTCCAATCCATCCCCTGAGGCAGTGCTGAGAACTACCTTCAGCTAGCTGTTTCTCATTCTGAACAACTGAGCTAGGGAATTCTCACTTTTCTTATGGGACATCATGTATACAAGCCCAATTGTTGGACTACAGAGGGGAATCATATTTGCAACCCATCTTTGCTCTCAAGATTCCTGTTCTGCTGGAGATCCTTATGTGGGAAGCCTGTGACCCTGTGCATAGTACCCCGATCTAGGTTTCAGTATGAATTCACCTTAAAGCAGCAATCTCGTTCATTTCCATTCAATGTTAAATCATCTGTGTGACAGAAGTAAGCCAAGCAACTGAGGGTGTGGGAAGGGGGAATGAACTTGAATGTGGAACTGATGAGATAGCCACTTAAGAATATAAGAACTTCCCTGATGGATCCAGTCTAAGAACAGTTCTACATATTGGAGAAGCAGTTCTGCAAACAACATATTGCGGGAAATGCATATAAAAAATATGGGTGAATTTTAATGTGGACCTTCTGCCCGACATTTACAAACTGATGCAGAAATGGAATGCAAATGGAACCCAGATGTTTAGAGAAACTAATAATCAGGAGTTAAAGACAATCCACACCCCTAACAAAAGTAAACTGTTTCATATAATTGCGATTTAGCTTCTCATGGCTAATATCCAACAAAAGTGCAATCATCCATGACTCTACCTAGTCCTTCGTAAAGATGAGATATTCTACTAGGTTTTAAAAACTATTTAATCTAGTGCCCATCGCAACACATGGTAATTATAAATTTCATAACTCAATTATATATAAAGTGTAGCAGTGCTAAATTTTAATGTCTTGCATCATAATATAATCAGCTTCATTGGTTCCAGTGTAGTGACTGAGAGAAATATATGCTTCTTATATAACTCTCTCAGTCCTCTGAAAGACCATAATGTTAGAAGCTTTTCAAAATTTTCAGAGCTGAAAATAAATATGAATCCAAAATCCTGGCCCTTGTTGCAGCTCATCTTCTAGAAGGCCATAAATTAAAAATATAGCTTCTACTCAAAGCTCTTTCCAATTCAGTATCTGAAAATCAATGGATCGATATTTTGTACACCAATTCTAGCCTGCCATAGTGTTTATGTCCCCGGAACATATAAATGAAAGTCTGAATGAGCTTTCAAAACCAAATTGTGGGGGAGGAGAAAACCAAGAATATTTTATTTTCTATCCCTTTTGAACAATGATATCTCATCGATGCTTTTTCATGAAAGCACAGCAGAAATCACAACAGCATAATGAATAATTTAAAAGGTTTCTCTCCACTGATAGTGCTGTTAGAACAAAGGGAGTAATACTTTTCAAGAGGAAAATTACCTTTTCTTCCATGAATTTATAAAATTGCTTAACTATGCCCACATGCCAGATCCAGTGAAGGGTTTATTTCAGGCTTCTGTGTGCCTATCCATAGCTGGATAGCAAATTTTATGTGACTAGTTACCCAGCATGATCCAAGATATAAGGCTGTTTCTGAATACATCTTAGAATCCCACCATCCAGGAAAATTAACCAATCAAATCCAGAGAGAGGACATGATGGATCTGGAATTGATGCCAATAGCTTTCCCTTCTGGGCAAAAGAGCTGATCAGTGACTTTGTTCCACTCTGTTATATATTTCATTCCAAAGATTCCTCCAAGACCTTAAAAAAAGTGTTTGCATGTCAGTCATACCCAACCCTCAACATCCAAATTACTACAGAAAGACAACGGTGGCTTTTTAGAGAGAGAAGAGTCAGGGTCTCTGCATGTAGCTATTTCTTAGAGGCAATTTGTGCATCAGAACACTCCCAGCCTCCCCAGTCCCAAAACACTCTCCTTGCTAGCCCTTCCTCCCTCCATGCCTCTTCTTCACACCAGCCTGGTTGGGTAGCAGTCATGGCTGATGCAAGAGTGGACAGAGGAAAGTGAGAGGTTTTTCTTTTCCTTCCATAACCCAGTGGCTGAGTGCACTGGCCGCATGTGGCCTCGTGCTACCAAGCAAGTTTATGGCTATGCCAGAGGAAGATCTTGGCCCATAACACACCCTTAGGCATTGCACTGAACCGCCAGACAAGCAAATGTCATTGTCTGACAACCAAGTATAGGCTGTAAGGTGTCTGATTAATTTGACCATCGTAGGCAGATGTGTTTGCTGAACTATTTTATTTATATTTTATTTATTTATTAAAACATTTTTATGCCGCCCCATTCGCCGAAGCCTCGGGGCGGCTTACAACAATAAGTTAAAAAATAATTATAACATTAAATTAAAAAAAAAAAAAGAGAAGCTTGAATGCAGTGGAGATTTCCGAGCATGAAGAATGGTGTGAAGTTGAGATAACAGCTTTAGGTGCAATCCTATGCATATTTAGACAGAAATACTTTACACAGTTCCCAGCATCCCCCAACATCCCAGGTGTATAAGTATGCATAGGATTGTGCTTTTAGTCGGATTATATTAATTGTATTATTACTAGGACATAGTTCTTTAGGATCTTCCTAGTTATCAATATTTTGCAAGCTTCTAAATACACTCCAGAGTACTCTTTAAATGTGTGTGGTGTGGACTGAGAGCTTCCCATGCAAGCTAAAAGCAAGTGATACTGTTCATTGATGGACAGTGACATCTAGAGGGAGGATAAAATATGGATATTTTGTTCATTTCTGCCAAATGACTCGTGTCAGTGCATCTGAGAAAATGGAATGTGCCCTGTCCTGGTACCCATTGTACTTTGTGTGTGGATTAATATATCCTTTCCATGGTGATCATAAGCTCACAGCTCAATAATCAATTCAATTTGATCTTTATAACAGGAAAGCAGCAGCCTAGGATTGCTATCGTGAAAGAATAGGGGGGATATTTTAGGAGAGCCTCTTTCTCTTATCTTTTTGCAATTCTCTTCAGTGGTAGCAGACTGAACCCAGCATTTGGACTGGGAATAGACCTGCACAGGCAAAGAGGCAAATAAAAGGAACTGAGTGTATGTTACCATTGACCATACTGAGTAATGGTCAATGGTAGCATAGATTCCAGTGGATTTTATTCTGGTCAACTTAGCAATCATTGGCAATGTATCAGGACAGATTCCATCACAGAGGCACGAAGAAAGATTTGATGTTGGCCATGCTGCTGAGAACGACAGGAGCTGTAGCCCAACATATCTGGAGGCACCATGCTTGGGAAGAGTGAGACAGGCCATGTTGTACTGAGTGAGGTCATTGCGGTCTTGTGTGCTCCTGCTGACCTGGAATGGAAGGAGAGAAGCAGGACTGCCTCCTGCAGAACACTGGCTAATCAGGCAGCAGTGATGGGACCCTCTGCCTTCCTGGAAACTGGCATGATGGCACAGTGAAACACTTGTCTGAGATTTTCCTTCTTTCCAGTGCCCTCTCCCCCACCTGAAAAAAGGTGACTGCTTTTCAGAATTTTCTTCAGATGTATTCTATTGCTTTTGTGTTATTTTCCTGTGACCTCTGCTATTTCATGCCCACATTGCTCAGAATGATACTTCATCTGGGACGCTGTGGATGATGTGAAATAATGGCCAGGCTGGGCCCAGTTCAGGTGAAATGAGAACCCGTGAGTTAAGCCCACATGAGTCAAGCCATGTGGAGAAAGCAAGCTTCTGCTGAGGTGCCTCTTTCACTTTGTTTCTGCATTACAAAACAACTCAGAATTTCCTCTTCCTGGGTTGTGCTCCATAACATGCAAACATGGAACTCTGGATTGCTGAGGGAGAAATAACCAAGAGTTTTAATACATGGGTTCTTTTGGGCTAGAATTCTGGAATGTTTCCCCTGAAACAATAGTTTTGGGTATCATGGAGTACAACCCACAAGCAAGGTTATTTCAGGGTTTTCTTGTCTGTCCCCTGGTAGTTTGTAATGAAAAAAGAGTAAGCAGTGAACAGCCAGAAGGATGCCTGCTCACAAGTGGTTCTAACTAACCAGAGTTTCACCCATGGTTGGTCATTACATGCAAACCGGGCCACTTGCTGCTGTGTCTGTCTCTTGCTATCCTTCTTAGGAAGGAAGGAAGAAGCTATGCTAATCGTGAGCATTCCTGAATTTTACAGGAGACCTAGGGCTCTTTGTCTGCTGTGTCCTTCATGGCATAAATTGAGCCTTCCAACTG